GTGTGTGTGTGTGTGTGTGTGTGTGTGTGTGTGTGTGTATACATGTTCTAAGTTAAAACTACCTTTAAACTTAGCAAGCTCTTGAATTGCTCCATATCAGTAGAGCGTAAGTGAGCTGTTCAGACAGGTCTGGTCACCACCCCTACTGGAAAATAGGGTAATGGCTTCCTTGTCAGAGGTGGGTGTGCCAGCTGCTTTTGTGAATGGAGGGAAAGGTTTAGGCGGGTCAAATTATTTGCTCTTAAGTTAAAAAAAAAATTAAATAAATAAAAATACTCACAGTGTTAGCCTTTTATGTTTAACAGAATAAAAGTAGACCAGAGGACTTTGGTGCGATTCTTATTTCTTACAATGTTTTTGGCTTCTGAAGAAGTCTCAAGAAAATTTATATCCTCAAGAGCAGAACTTAAAAAAAAAAAAAAAATATCCTATCAATCCAGTAGAAGAAAACAAGGGAAAAGAAAGGAAGCTCTCCCACAACCCAGCCCTTTATTAGCAACTCACTGTGAACACAACGCTTCTCCTTGACACTGTTTCTTGTCACCGGCTAGAGAAAAACCTCTCTTAATGCCCCACCCCGTTCCTTGTCTTTTCCTTCTTTTCTTAACAGCTCCCCCAACAAAAGGAGTTACAGCATTTAGGTTATCGTTTTTGTCAGAGGACCAGGGCCTGGTGCCTGCTGACTGCCTATCTGTAAAGTGTCCGCTGTCTTTAGTGATGGACATCTCAGCGCGCTGGCTTTTGACTTCCAGGAGAATTTTATTAAGAAGGGAAAACTCCAGAAAGTTGTCTCCGAGTTTGACTTGAACACTGGCCTAAGGACCTGAAGCAGGCCTGAGGTTCATTGTCCTGTCGAGTGACCCAGGACTTCGACTAGTTTCCCTTGTGACAAATTCACAAGTACAGCTTGTAGTTTTGTCCAATCCACAATGACATTTCTTTTCACAGCTCTCTTGACTTTCTACTGTTTAAATACCCTGAGTTGTCTCTTAATTTGCATTTCTTCTTTTAATTCCTGTCAGCTCTGAATGTAACGTTTACATAATCAATTTCCTTGTCCTGTTTTTTTTTTTTTTTGAGTTATTGCTTTTGAATTGTGGAATATCCATTGGCATGTTACTTTAAGATAGTTTCATAATCTGTACAATGTCATAGTATTAAGATTGTTATGCAATGACATTAACTTATTTTCTTTCTTTTCTTTGTAGGCTGAGCAATGGCATTTCAAAAGGCAGTGAAAGGGACTGTTCTTGTGGGCGGAGGCGCTCTGGCCACTGTTTTGGGACTCTCTCAGTTTGCTCACTACAGAAGGAAACAAGTGAGTAAACGCATGGGCTGATGCGGAAGTGTTGACGGCTGTGTGTGCTCATGGCTGTGTGTAGGAATGACTTAAAATTCCTCCGTTTATAGAGATCCTCAGAGTACTGCCTTATGATGCCCACGAACTTTGAGTACCCCATGTTTTAAAATGGTAATGTCCTCTCAAAAGCCTCTGTTTTGGCTCTTCGATTTAAAAAAAAAAAGCTTCATTTATTTTTGCCAGGGTTTGTTCATTTAGACCTTACTTTGTCCAGCTCATTGAGATGCCTGGGTGCTTTCTTGGCTCCTGCCAAGTCTGTCCTATTAGAAGGCAGGAGGCTGGGAAAGGAAGTGGAAAAGCCAAGGCCCAACTCTATTGTCTGGTTATATTTCTCTTTTTCTTTTCTTTCTTTCTTTCTTTTTTTTTTTTTTTTTTTTTTTTTTTTTTTTTTTGTAGCTCAGGCTGTCCTGGAATTGTGTTGATCTGGCTGGCCTCGAACTCACAGAGATCCCCCAGCCTTGGCCTCCAGAGTGCTGGGATTCAAGG